GGCCAAAAAAGTTTTTAAAAATTTGGGGGAAAAAGGTTTACAAACCCTCATAGAAGTAAAGGGGGAAACCTAAGCTTTATCTTATCAACATCCTTAAGAAAAAAAAACCGAAGAAATTGGGTTAACTCCCTTTAAAATAACTTTGACTTATTTTTTTCCACACGAACTTGAAACAACAAGAAAATTTTAAGGGGGGTGCGAAAATTAAACCCCCCAAACTTAGACTTTTAAAAAGAACTAAAAAGGTTTTGGTGATTTTTTGACCACCCGGGGGCGAAACCCAAAATTAATTTTAAATAATCTTTGGATGACCATAAAAAGACAGGGACAATTTCCAATGTGGGAGAAACTTTTCAACGTTTTTAACTAAAATTCCGGGTTTTTTACCTCCCCGGTAGTCCATAAGTTTGATTTAATTGACGGCCCAGTCCTACCCAAACGGAAATTATCCCAGTTCCAGTTCCCCCTTTGGGATGAAATTTACCAAAGGGGTTTAGAAAAATTTTATTAAAACAAAAGATCTTTGAACCTTCATTTATCTTCTTATTTTTCCCCCAAAAGCCAGGGTTTTAAAAAGGAGGAAAATTTCATATAGTTTTGCGTTGGCTTCAGAGGCCTTAATGCTAAACCGGGGGGTTTTCCTGGACCTTCCCCTTAAAAAATACGATCAACACAAATTTTATGACTCTTCCTTTTTTTTCAAAATTTTGATTTTTGCGCGGGCCCAAATCATCAAGAAAATTTAAAATCCTTCTTCTAACAGTAAAAAACCGTTTTTTCCCAACACCCCAAGGGGACGTTTGCAATTTTAAAAACTATGCCCTTGGGTTTTGGTAACTGCCTGTGCTCCCCTTACGGAGACTGATGAGAAAGGTTTTGGGGTTTTAAAAAACCAAATGTTTCAGTTTTTTTTGATAACATTTACGTAACACATCTAAGTTTGGGGGAACATATCCAAACCTTTAAAATCCCTTTTACGTAGGTTTCGCTCACAAGGGGCCCCCGCCAAGCCAAGAAAGGCCCTTCCCTTTGGGGATAAAAAGATTAGAATCTTGGGCTGATAAAATTTTTTAATAACCCCTCTGCAAACCTCTCCCCCCGTTTAAATCAAAGCTTTTTTTAGAATTTAAATTTCCCCAAAACCAAAAAAGCCCATGCGTAAACTTTTTTTGGGCCGAAATTTTTAGCACGGTTTTTTTCCAATCTTCCTTAAAAAATCTGTGAAGGAAACCCCTTGAACTCTCCGACGTAGCTCGGGGAAAAAATTTTAAAGAATAAAAAAATCTCCTCGAAAAACCCTATACTTTTAAAATTCCAGATATTAAAAAAAACATTTTTTTTTAAGAACTGATGCCCCCAATCTGCTTTTGGTTTCGGGTGCACAAAAATACCATGATATTACTCCCTTTCCCCGTAAGGCTTCCAAGCCGGAAACTCCTTCCCACAGAAAAAAGATACTCCACAATAGAAAAAAGGGAAGTTTAGCCCCCTTTTGTGGGGTAAACTCCAAAAATTAAATTTTATTTACTGGGGGAAAAATTCATTTTTGAAAAAGGACCAAAACCCTTTTTTATAACCTAGAAACTTTTAAGGGGAACCCAAAAGTCCCCCTCTTTTAGGTGGAAAATTGGCACTCCAGGCTTTTTTAAATTCTATATTGGGGTATATCAAGGTTCAAACCCCTTTTTTTCCTGATGGTTAAATCGTGAAGCCGTAGAAGATTTTTTTGCCTTACGCGACTTTCCCCATTTAGAAAATTTTTTCCCCGCCTATTCTTTTTTAAAACCCTTGACTATAATTCCTTGGGGACGGGGGGTGTGAGGAAAAAATTCAATAGATAGGAGTAGAGAGGGGAAAATATAATTTAAAAATAGTTTCATTACCGGCAAAAAGTTTAAGGTAGGCAAGTCACCTCCCGTTTTTTCCCCCCCTTTTCTCCCCCCCACCCCTAAAGTGATAGTTTGATTGCCAGCTTCTTTTTTAACGTAGGGTTTAGCTAGCCCCCCCCAAACCCTTTCCCCCCCCTCCCTTTCCCCCCCCCTCCCTCGAAAGGTGACGTTGTTGGGGGTCGGTCAAAAAAGTAAAAACACTCGACTCCAGCTCCCCAAAACTACTGTAAGTACATTTCCTGCCTTTATTCCGTGGATTTTGGTTAAAAGCTTTTACTTTTTTACCAAAAATAAACTTATCCTTTCAGTCTTTCTCTTGGGTTTACTGTTTTTAATAAAACACCACGTCCCTTTTTAAATTGTACACGCCATGGGAGAGTGAATTTTTTAAGCAGTGGGTAACCTTCTATCCCTTTTCCCGGCCCTTTGGGTGTCAAGAGGGTCACCCGGGAATCCCCGAGCAAAAAAAGGGGGAAAGGGCTAACGTCCCGAGACTTCCCCCTTTTTCATTAAGTACCTGTGGCACCTGAAAAGAAATTTCAGGACGTAACCCCCCCATCATTGCAGCGGTAAAGAACCTGCTTTCCTGTCCCTCGGGGAAATACTCACTGGTTAAAAACTGTGAAGAAAAAAGCCAGTGGATGGTCACCCAAAACCTGCGACCCCCCCCCCCTTTTCAGCAAAAGGCCACGATTTTTAACAACATGTCACCAAAAACCCAAAACCCCAGTAGATAATTTCGTCGATTTTAAATGTTTTTTTTATTTACTTAATTTTTCATTTTTTTTCAAATAGGTTATACCTTTCATGTTTTTTTTTTTAATTTTTTATTAAAATTTAAACCCTAAAGTTTTTTATCTTTGTGAATTATTATTTCTTTCTCTATTCATTAAATTTTTTTGAGGAGGAGCCCCGCCTGAGTAATACTGCTGAAGTTTTTAAAAGGGTTTAGAACCTTCAAGCAAACCCTTTTACGCAACATTCCAAAAATAATTTTTGTTTTTGTAGATGTTCCCGCCCCTTTCTCAATACGTTTGAAAGCCTCATTTTTAGAACATTCGTGACCCCTAACCCCCAACCTCACCTTTTTTTTGCAGTGTCCTTTCTATTTTCCCCCGACATTACTGCTTTTGAAATTTTCTTTGCTATTATTTCTAAAAACTTTCATAAACCAGTAACCAATCTCTGTGCTCCTTTTTTGTTTTTTTTTTCTTTTTTTCTGATCCTTTTGGGGCTAGGTTCGAGGGGTTTTATCATCCGGCCTTTTTCCCCACCGTAACCCTACAATATCCCTTTAAAAAACACAACTGTTTTTTACTACGGGTAGAACAAACCCCCGTTCCCCTAATTTTAGATGCTACTAAACTGCTAAAACCACATGTATTCTAGTAAATCCTAGTACTATTTATTTTTACGGCCACTACAAAACGACCAATCAACTCTCAGGTTAAAAAAAAACGGGAAAATGGGGATAGGGGAAGAATACGTCGGAGAGGAAATGTCTTTTTTTGTAGCAACAGAGCCCGGGGAAAAACCAGCAGCTAACTCTGGATTACGAAAAAGACATCAACATTCAGTATGTGAACAACTGGGGAGGAGCACTTCCCTGAGTTTTTTCTTTCAGTCTTATATAAACAATCATTTTAAAGTGTTTTTAAAACTTTTTTCGTTAAATTTAAAATTAAAAATAGTTTTTAAAAAACTAATACATTAAAGAATTAAAAAATAATGTAGAAAATATTGGCATTTTTCCCAAATTATAGTGCAATTTTTAAATTTTAATTTAAAGAAATACATTTTTATTGGTTAAAAATAATTTGGGGAAATTTAAAAAAAAACCAGCAAAATAAGTAACGTCGGGGGGGGAGGACCTTTATATTGGGAAATTTGGGGAAACAAGACGACATTGAAAAATTTTAGGGGAAATTAAAAAAAGGTTTCCCGGAGCTAAATGGGGTTTTAAAATTTAAACCTCCCCAAAAAGGAGAAAGAAGAATCGGGGTTACAGTCCTGCCGAATGTGCGAAAACCCGCGCTTGGCAAACTTGGAAATTAATAGAAAAAGGGGGGTTTTAAAAAGAAGCAATCAACTCCCCCAACTAAGATGTTGAACTTTTGGCCAGTTTTTTTCCTCCCCTGTCTAGGAGGGGTTTTTATGACCTAGCTGCACCTACGACCCCCCACACAAAAGGTGATTGGGGGTAACATAAAAAATTTTTTTTCTCATATGAAGTATTAAAACACGTAACCCTCCCCCCTTCCTTCCTCAAATTTTATCCCAGTTTTACAGTCCCCCATAATTTTAAAAGTAAATATTAATATCAAATTACTGGTTTTTGTTTATTAAATTTAAAGTTTTAAAATTTATAGGGGTTTAAGTAACTTTGGGATTGTAGAGGAAAAAGGGGGTCGCAGGGAGACATTTTTGTGACTTTGTGGGTCTCAAAATATTCCCCACAAAGCCTCAGAGTTGTAGCAATTGGTTTAAAAAATAGTTTTTCTTTGTTTTCATTCATTAAATTTTCTGGGATGAAAATAATGAGGGTTTAAAGCAGGTAATTTTAAAACCCCACAAGATGTATAAAATAGTTTTGGAATTACAATGACGCTCATTTTTTTTTACCCAGGTTCATATGTCCTGGGATGATATGTGTTAATTACAGGTAAATATTTTCTTGTTTCAAGAATATATAGAAGCTTTTACTCAACAAACATTATTTGGCAATGACATGGACTTTGAATATTCACGATAAAAACACAAAATGGCCATCAAGGCCTCAGTAGCGGGCTTCAATTAAATAACAGTTTAAACATTATATACTAAAATATGTCCCTCTCACACCCACTAGGAGGGTGAGTCATGTATTTTCTCGGATCAAACCTGATTGCCTCCCATCCTCTTTGAGATCTATGAACCCTACGGGTTCAAGGACGTCTTATGAACATAATATTTAAAAGTGTTAATCTCTCTATGCACCTTCACTGAAAGTTTGCATTAAACTATGTTTCGAAGACTCAGAGTTCTTTCTTAGTATTCAGATAAGCTGCAGATTGAATTATCTAAGCACAATCGTCAGGCATTAAACCTAATAAGCTACATTTCCCCCTGAAGGTTTGTGACCAAGACGGGAAGTGGCTGGATGCTGAACCCATCCCAGGCACCATCCTCATACTGGCCGGAGACTTTCTCAAGTGCTACTCAGACAACAAGGTGGTCGCTGCGGTGAGGTGCACTGGATATTGCTGAATAGCAGAGAAAGATAATTAGGGAGAAAAAACACTCAAGTTGCAGAGAAAGTTTTTATTTGAACAAAGTTTCGTAGTGTTTAAAGCTATACACAGATCAGACCAAAAAGTTTTCCTCATAGAAGTCTGTTCTGAAACGAGTGTCTCATCCCCCTATGTTGTTGGCAGTGTTCCATATGGATTCTAAAAAGTTAGTCAAACTTGAAAAGAACAATGATCGACGTGGTCCGTCTTTATTATTATTATTATTATTATTATTATTATTATTATTATTATTGTTAATATTATTATCATATAATTATTCTTAATCTTCATATTATTATTACTTTCACCATCAGTATTATCATCATCATATGCGTTTGGTCATTCTTCCTAAGATAAGACCCACAACAGTCAATTATCACAAAGGTAATTATCTATCTACTGCTAGGTGAATAAACAGTGATAGTACGTCATTATCATACTCTCTCCAGTGTCGTCAGGTTGAGTTCCCTGAATCTCTCCTCATAGAACACACTCCTTAGCTCCGGGACTAGTCTTATTACAAACCTCTGCACTTTCTCCAATTTTTTCATATGCTAGACAGGTGTAGGTCTGACGTACACGGTGTACATTGTCGTGAATGACTCCTTACTTAGATGTCGAAAAGCTGTTTTTAGATTTGCCAGATGCGCATTTATCATTTTTGTGGTTGATGTGTGTCCAAGGAGACATGTTCTGTATGATACTCACCCTAAGGTCTTTCTCCCTGATTGAAATTTGCAGCCTTTCACTCCCGCCCCCTCTTCCCGAGCCTATACTCCGTCTGGGGTCTTCTTTGTCATCCAAGCTTCATAACATTGCACTTGGTATGGTTAAACTCCAGGAGCCATTTGCCATACCAGGCTTACAGATCCATTTATAACCTTTCCTGCTCCTTCTCCGCTTGTATTATCTTCATTAGTTTCACTCTGTCTGCTAACAGGGACACCTCTGACTCTATCCTGTCTGTCATGTCATTCACGTATACAAAAAACAGCACTGACCGTAGGGCTGATTCTTGTGGAACACCGCTCGCGACTTGCACCCATTCCAACACCTCTTCACAGACCATCACTCGTTTCCTTCCTTTTAGGCATGCCTTGATCCATTGTTGTGCTTTTGCTGTTATTCCTGCTTGCCCCTCTAGCTTTTATACCAGTCTAGCGTGAGGTACTGTTTCAAAAGTCTTCCAAGAAAATACAATCTACCCATCCTTCTCTCTCCCTTGTCTTACCTCTGTTACCTGTCGTGAACTCAGTAGATTCATGACACAGGATTTTTCATCCCCGCAGTTCTGCTGGATGTATGTATAAACCCACTTCATT